GTTGTATTCATCTTCTCCAGGGTGTCAGAAATGGTTTTAGGTGATAAAGAGACTGGAAGATTCAGCCTTGTGAGAAGGAAACAAGGGCAAACACAGCGAGAGGCAAATAACCGAGTCACACATCTGCCTTGATTTAAAATACATCTGTAATTGAACCATGCAAAGCTGTACGGCTCTGCACATCTGTCTTTGTTTTGCGATTTAAATGCTTTGGGTGAAACTCCCCCATCCCCCAAACAAGAGGCATTTTATAGCTATTTGAAAAAATAATGGCTGCTATAACATTGGAGCTCCCTTGTGTTCTTATCGTAGGAACAATATCAAGTCGTGGCAGACAATCTCTCTATCTAATCTACCCGTCAAAATCCCCACAGGATTCCTCTGATATATTTATCTTTACATGTAATAACCCCTGTGATATCAGGTTTATCACTGGAAGAGTTAAGTGGAGGCTAGGAGGCTTATTTGATGCAGAATTATTAGAAAGTGAAAGCGTTTGCCACAAGAGATGAGTGAAGCTAAGACCAACATTGAAACAATACGTAAAAGGGGATTTCTCTAATCTCTGAAGGAAAACAATATAGAAGAGGCATAATAATAATAATAATCCTTTCATTTGATATAGCGCCTCATCCCGTCTTCGAGACGTCTCAAAGCGCTTCACAGAATATACTGTAAAGTGGTTTGACTGTATATTTCGCAGGGCAAAGGCACGGCAGCCAATTGCGCACAACAGCGTCCCACAAACAGGCGTGGATTGAGTGACCAAATTATAAATTGATTTAAGGGAAAAAAATGACCCTGAAAAAGAGATCCGCCAATTGACTGACAACCCGGATCCTATTTACCAAAAAAAAAACCAGAGTAAACGGAAAACAGAGGTGTTTAGAGTAAGGAAACTTGCCTAACATTTTGCCCTGTCTGGGAATTGAAACCAGGTCCTCTCGCTTGCGAGGCGAGTGCTCTAACCACTGAGCTACAGGACTCCACAAGAGTGCTGGGAAAGAGGGGTGAGGGGTAGGAAAGGAGTGGGCTTCCGAGGAGGTGCTGGTGCCAGAAAAGACTGTATCAGCTGAATGGCCTCTTTCTGTGCTGTAAACTGCTAAGATTCTAAGCTTCTAAATGATGCACTGATTTCCCCAGTGGCCCAAGTTTGGATATGCTCCTGAGCTCTCTGCACATTTAGTGCTTGTGTGGAGTTATGTTGTCTGGTTGCTGGGACGGCAGTGAGCAGCTGATACTGATATGGGCATAGGATGTACAGGACTGGGAAGACTATTATTCAGACTGTCTCGTTTTGAAATCTCATTCTTCTCCATCTCACATACTACTACTACTACTAATAATAATCCTTGCATTTGATACAGCGCTTTTCACGTCTTCGAGACGTCTCAAAGCGCTTCACAGAGTATACTGTAAAGTGAATTGACTGTATGTTCTGTAGGCGAAACGTGCCAGCCAATTGCACACAGCAGCGTCCCCACAAACAGTTGTGGATTTAGTGACCAAATTATTATTTTTGTATTAAAAAAAATTATTTATTTATTTTGAAGGGATTATTAGCCCCAGGAAGCGATCCGCCAATTGACTAACAACCGGGTGCCTAATTACTGGTTGGTAAACAGAGGAGTGTGGAGTAAGGAAACGTGCCTAAGGTTTTGCCTCGCCTGGGAATCGAAACTGGGTCCTCTCGCTTGCGAGACGAGCGCACTAACCACTACGCTACTAGTTTTGAGTAAAGTACTGTAGCCTGAAAGTCTTTAGGTTCATCAAAGGGCATGATAGAGTAGATAGTGAGAGATTGTTTCCCCGGTTGAAGAAACTAAAACCAGGGGTCACAAACTTAAAATCAGAGGCAGCCCTTTCGCACTGAGTTGAGGAAGAACTTCTTCACTCAAAGGGGTGAATGTATGGAACTCACTACCCCAAAGGGCTGTTGACGCTCTGTCCTTGAACATATTCAAGACTGAGATAGATAGATTTCTTATTGCAAAAGGGATTAAGGGATATGGGGATAAGGTAGGGTTATGGTATTGGCTGGAGTTAGATTAGAAGATAATCATAATAATCCTTGCATTTGATATAGCGCTTTTCACGTCAGAAGGACGTCCCAAAGCGCTTCACAGAACACACTGTAAAGTGAATTGACTGTATATTTGTGGGCGAACGCGGCAGCCAATTGCGCACAGCAATGTCCCACAAACAGTCGTAGATTGAAAATGACCAATATATTATTGTTTTTTTTTGGATTTGGAGGGATTATTATTAGGCGTGTGGAGTAAGGAAACTTGCCCAAGGTTTCGCCCTGACCTGCCTGGAAATGAACTCAGGTCTCTCACTTGCAAAGCGAGTGCTCTAACCACTGAGCTACAGGACTCCACGTCCATGGAGATCAGCCATGATTGAATGGCGGGGCAGGCTCGAAGGGCCGAATTGCCTACTCCTGCTCCTAGGTGTTATGTTATGTTAGGATCTGAAAGGCTTGAATTGGATCACTCTCAGTCCTCTCTTCTCTAATGTTCACATTCCCAGGTTTTGGGGCTGTGCTGATTCCTCAGTAAAATTTACCACTGAATGTAGTTGACTGAAAGTGGGTTGTAAGTTTCGATCGGAGTAGTTGGTGTGACTTACCCTTCCCAGTCTGGCTTGAAGGACATCAGGAGCTTTGCCAGAGGGAGAAGGTTTTCCCAGGCTCCTCTCCTATAGTTCCCAACAACTAGGTCAGGAGAAGCACTAATGGAGCATCCTTAATTGCCAGTGCTTCAGAAGGCAATGACCAGACATAGGGATGAGGAGCATTCATTGCTTAAAAAATAAGTAGTCTTTACTGCGGTGTCGTGCTCCCATTCATACGAGCATAATGCTTAATGCTGGTATCACTACTATTGGGTCAGTGTGATCATTTCCGCTCATTAAACAGCTTCGTTCCTCTGGTGTCACTTTAGCTCCAATTCAGCAGCTCAATTTAGTATTGGATTATTCCCTCCTACCTCCCAGTTATCAGTTGTTAGTGTTTGGATTGTGGACGGGCGATATTAAAGCTGCCAATGAGAGGGTGGGGTGGGGGGCTGGTACTTTTTTTAAAATAAAAAAGTAAACTGCACGACTGTCCCGGGTATGAATTCAAGGCAGCATAATAATAACAATAATAATATTAATAATAATCCTTGCAATTGATATATAATCCTTGCCTTATATCATCGCCAAAATGCTTCACAGGATTTACTGTGAAATATTTTGACGACAGAAGTACATGAAATACATTTTTTGACCACACAATACACAGTTAATCTACTTTACATATTACGTGAAGTGCTTTGAGACATCTCAATGACGTGATAAGGTGCTATACCAAACACAACGATTATTATTAGTATTATTATTCACTGCAGAGCACAGTGACTGTGTATTTATAGGCAATTTGGTTACAGCAGTCTCCACAACCAGCCATTAGATGACTGACCAACATTTATTTGGGGGATTGTTGGCCAAGACATTGGGTTGAATTCCCTTCTCTTTTCGAATGGGATCTTTAAGGCCAAGAATCAAGAGGAAAGAAATGGAAATATTCTACAGAATATTGGAAGATTATTCCCTACAGTGTTAATTCATAAATTAATAATGATAATAATAATAATCCTTGCATTGGATATAGCGCCTTATCACATCTTCGAGACATCTCAAAAGATTTCACAGAATAAACTGTAAAGTGAATTGACCGTATATTTAGTGGGCGAAACGCGGCAACCAATTGCGTACAACAGCATCCCACAAACAGTCGTGGATTGAGGGGCCAAATTATTAGTTTATTTTAAGGAATTATTACCCGGAAAAGCGACCTGCCAAGCGACTAACAACTGATCGCGCCTGATCAGATTGTCGAGATGCCTCAAAGCTCTTCGCAGAATGTACGGTAAAGCGGATTGACTGCATTTGGTGGGCGAAACAAAATAAATTAATTAACACTTAAATAATGAATTAACTTAAATAAAATACTAATTAGCTCAAATAAAAGAATTAACACTGAACGGAACCGTGGGAATCCGATACTTCTAAACCGAGTGATGAAGGTTCTAATATTCTTAAATTTCTAGGTAATGGCCTTGAGGCTAAGACGGTGTGAAGGGCTGGTTATTTGGATGTGTTACAAAGAAAAGATTTAAAACCGAGATGTTTTAAAAGGTGAAAACCAACAAGGAAGGCGTTCGGATTGAAGGAAAATAAGGTGGAACTTTTCGAACTGGAATATTTAATTATTTTGCCCTGCAGAATATTTCCATTTCTTTTTTGTTTCTCGTCCTTGAAATATATATATAATATATAATATAATATATAATGTGTAAAAAATGCAGCCCTTCTGTTGGGAAGAATGGGATTCTGACATCTGATTGTAATAATAATAATCCTTGCATTTGATATAGCGCCTTATCGCGTAACTGTTAAATCTTCAAGGAAACTTTACGTGATTGCAGACCAACCTATTATTTTCTCTCCCCACCCCCCCCTTTCCCCTTTCCCCTTGGCGAGGAAGTGGTGTGGTTTACATTGATGATATGGTGTGCTTTCAAACAGTGTGTGTGTGTGACAGAGAGACAGAGAGAGGCATTAAGGTAACACCCCATGCATTTTCTACGATTGGCAAACCTCACGCACAACATACAGCTAAGCTGATTGTTAGATTGCAGGCTGGACAGTGAGTGTAGTGATACGCATTGGCTCTGTCTGCTGCTAGTGCTTTCCACAGTCCGTGATCAATGGGTTGACACAGTCCCTGCCTGGACAGTATGCTCTCTCGCTCTCTCGCTCTCTCTCTCTCTGGTTCTCTGCTGTTGGATGTGCTATTTGTGAGCTTGCTTGCTCTCTCTCCTCTCTCCCCCTCTTTGTCTGCCTGCACAGCTCTGGGACTTCTCTATGGTAACAAGGCTACTGAATGCAGACCACCTACTGCTGTGTGCACACAGAAGCCCGAGGCATTTTGCTCCGTGCACCTCCTTGGCAAAGCAATAGCCAGACGAAGCTTAGCTCAGCTCGCCTCTCGCCCTCTTCTTGCCAGTCCCAAGTGAGCTGGAGATGGAGAGGTAACACAGCAACGTGAACGAGACAAGAGGAATGGAGAGTATCTCCTGTGCTGGATGCAAACGCTAAAACATCTGCACATCATCCTGGTTCAAGAGGAAAGGGGAGACGGAGTTGGGGGGGAAGAACATTGAACGTTGAATCGAAGCAGCCCCTTTTGGATGGCCCCATCTATCAAAGCAACAAAAGTAAGTGGCTTTTATTTTATTTGAAAAAAAAACATTTTTTTTTCGCTCGGAAATTGAGACCATGAAAAGTCTTCTTTGAGGGGTTTAATAGGGGGTTTGTTTGGGGTGGGGGAGAGAGAAATTTGAACGAGCAAGGGCTTTTCTATAGGTGCAGTTGCAGGCTGGTTTTATGTGAAATCTCTTTGTTAACACAGAGAGCGAGAGAGAGAGAGAAAATACTCATATGGTTCAACAGGGGAAAAGCTACCCATTGCTGTTGATGTACTGTACAGGTTTGTGTGATGGCAAAGATAGCTGGACCATATCTGTCAGTCTATTGTGCTCTAATGTAATTTACAAATAAGTATGAATTTCAACTTTACTTTTTTTAGTAGGAAGGAAATAAGGAAGTGTTTTTTTTAAAATTCATTTTGCTGCCAAATTGATACACACACACACACATTAATTACCTAACCCCAGGGCTTCTCATTTCACACACAAGAAACCAGACTTTATGTTGCGTGCTTTTTAAAAAATATATTACATATTTCTTGCCCGGCTTTCTCTCCTCTGAATTTTTGGCGATGCCAATAAGGTCTCACTCACTGTCCAGTCAGTCATTTGTTACATGAGCATTGACACTGAGTGTCCGCAAGGCTGTTCGAATGTGTTGTTTGTGTTGTCCCAGAGCTTTGGGGTGTCCTCCCGACGTGAAAGGTCCTATACAAGTGTAATTTGTTGTTGTTGTTGTTCTTCTTCTGGGATGCGGTTGGTTAGGTAGGTGGGTGAGGGGGAAATAATCTCCAACCATGATCCACCCCTCTCACCCAAACCATTGCACACTCACAGTAAGTGTTGGGAGATTTGGAACCAAAACCCTCTTTATTAAACCCAGGGATTGAGCTCTGATACCAAATTGTGCCTCTCCCCAATCCCCACCCCCCCTCCAAATTGCTGCCTCCACTGAGATCAGTTAACTCAATGCAGTCCTGGAATTTCCTGGCCCAAGGGGTGGTGGGGGGGGTGTGTGTTTGTGTGTGTGTGGGGGGCGGGTGGTAGAGTGGTGATGGAGACTGTTATCTGACTAACTCATGGGAGAACAGGCACCCAGAGATCCGAGCACCCACTGTGTTGGGATACAGTATCACCATAGGGAATAATGGCAAGTTTAAAGTTTGCACTCCAGTGTGGACAGGAAGTTGGATGGAGCTTTGTGTGAGCTGCAGATTGGGTTTGTTATCCAGGTTATCCCACAGCCGTGCAAATCCCAGAACGACTGCAGAATGTGGGAGGGGAGAAGAATTCCAGCAGTAACTCTGCTGTCGTCACTCCAGACCCGGAGGCTGTATGTTGTTCAGGAGCAGATTCCAGCCATTCTCTGCCAAGCGTCGTGTTTCACTGTTCGGCTCAAGTGAGTCTTTAAACATTTGTGAGAAAGAGTCTGTGCGTAAGCAGTGACTGAAGAAGGTAACCCCCTTATCCCCCACCTTTTTTTTAAAAAAGCTCTTTCATTTTCATGCCTTCCTTCCATGGCTCATTTTATGTACCTTAAAGAGAAGGTAGTTTCTCCTGGTCTCCGGACTAACAATCCCCGGATAAAAATGGTTGTGGCTGTTTGTGGGGCATTCCTGTGCGCATTCCTGTATATATAGCGGCCTTCATGTGGGGTAACGTGTCAGTGCTTAACGGTGGAGGAGCTTTGGCGACAAGCCTGGGAAAGAGGCGAGGTGACCGTTGGCACGATCGAGGAGCAAAGTCCTCAGGTGTATTTTGAAGGCAGTTAAGGAGTGTGCGAGGCGGAGGGATTGAGGCAGAGAGACATCTTAATAACGTGATAAGGTGCTGTATCAAATGTAAAGATTATAATAGCCCTGCAAAATACCAGCTGTCATGTTTTTCCCATTATAATATCAAACTGTTACTTAAGTGTTTCTGACCTCCATTTCGCTTCCTGGTAACCTTTCCAGCTATTAAATACGCACTATGCAAAAAAAAACGGTTCCTAGTATCTATCCTTAACTTGTCCATAATAACCCTGAACCTGCATTGTTCTGGGATTACATCCTCAATCCCATTTAACTTTGTCTAAGGGTGAGGGACTAATGTACGGATTACTGTACCTGTGAATGAGATTGAGTAACCTCAGCTCAGCTCCTCCACTGATAGTGGGCACAGAGCCTCCCCTTCTATAGCTGTGCTGTGATCGAGGGCTGCTCCGTGTGAGATCAGTGGCTGTGAATGAAATAAATTGACAGAGGAACCGAACGGTGCATGTTGTGTGCAATCGAGCGATCCCGTCCGACAAGTCCAAGGCCTGGTTGACTATCTTTGGGATCCACACCCCAGACCAGTTTCTCATAAGTTCCCACGGTAAATACTGTGTTAATAATCCTTGCATTTGATACAACACCTATATTGTCAGGCACCCGGCTGACCTCCCAAAAAATCCACAATATCAAAATATCTGTCAAGAGTTTGACAGTAATATTCTGTCAGGTGTAGTTGACCCTATCTTTATAGATATGCAGAAGTCATGTTGCAATCGCCAAATTCCCACAAAAACTGTCATGAACTGATTGACCAATATATCAGGAGTTTTGCTAGCCAAGATTTCGAGCGAAACTCCCTTTTCTTTTTGAATACAGTGTCAAAATCCTTAACATCAATCTAAACAGGACCTCGGTTTAACGTCTCATCAAAACGACTGCATGTCCAATGACTCAGCTCTCCCCCAGCACCGCACAGGAGTGTCTGCCTGGACTGTCAACGCTACGTCTTGAATGTGAGGCTTGAACCCAAAACCTTATGACCCCAGAGAGCTACCAACTGAGCTAAGCTGTTGAGCAGGCAGCCATGAGCTGGATAACGTTGAGCTGTGTGTGTGTGTGTGTGTTTGAGGAGGAGGGGTGGGGGGCTGGTGCTAATTAAATAATAATAAACAACAACAAGAACATATGCAAACTCGTTGCTTGTCGGCCTCCCCAACTCCTCCCTCCGTAGGCTGCAGATCATCCAGAACCCTGCAGCCCGTGTCCTCAAGACCGAGGCACTCCTGATTGGTTCCCGTCAGCTCCTCCACACAACAACAACAACAACAACAAGATTCCATTTATAGAGCGCCTTTCACGTCGGGAGGACGTCCCAAGGCACCTGCTTGCCATCACCCTGCTTCCCCCTCTGCCCTCCACCCTCCCCAATTCCGACCCACCCCGCCCCCCGCACCCCCAACCAGCTCGGGTCCAAAACACTGACTGTCCAGCACCTTGGGACATCCTCCCGACGTGAAAGCTGTTATACAAATGTAATTTTGTTGTTGTAAATAATAATACACCGTATTGATTGAATGTCTCATCATGCTGCAGTGATCTGAAACGGCTTCATGATATGAGTTACTTTCAAGGCAGTGATTGATCTCATGCAGCTACACCCCATGAAATCCACGAGTTATGCATACATGTTCAGCATTGCCTCATAAAGCCTGCTTTATTACAAAAGGTCCTTCGGAAAGAAAATTGGCTTCCTTAGCAGTCTATAAATTAAGGTGGTGACTTTTTTTTTAACTGGGTAAACACCAGCAGTTTCCCCCAACGCACACTCCCCACATCCGGCCGTCCTTCCCCACCCACCCACCCCCACCCAAGCCTCGCCTCTCAACAACCTGCCCTGCGCCAAATACTTTCCCGAATTAAGTAAAGCAGGTGGGTACTTCCAGAAAAAGGACAGTGCATTCCATTACAGACACAGGGAAATTTCTATGTTTAGGTGGCGTGTGGAACTATCAGTCTGCTTTGAATTATCATTCATTGGTGATTAAGCACAGCGAGACGGTAAGCTGCATGAAAGGCGCTATAGAAATATGCAAGCGAGAGGACCTGGGTTTGCTTCCTGGGCAGGGCGAAACGTTAGGCAAGTTTCCTTACTCCACACACACGCCCTCTGTTTACTGGGAGTAATAAGGAAATTGGTTGTTAGTCGATTGGCGGATCACTTTTCTTGGGGAAGCCCTCTTAGCATTCAACCCATGCAGGGCAACTAGAGATGTGCAATTATATGTGGTACAGCACCTTTCAAGGAGGGGGATGAGAGAGAGAAAGCAGTGACTGACTGACTATGACTGACAGACTGACGGACTAACTGACTGACTGTGACTGACTGTCTGACTGACTGACTGACTGACTTGAATAAATGTGAGCTGCTTCCTTTGAATCTCCTTTGAATGTTTATCGTGTGCTGTGGCTCGGAGCAATGAATGATCCAACTCCTTCCTCCTGGCATCGCACATATTCATAACAAGGATAATCCTCTCATTTGATGTAGCTCCTAGAACTTCAAAAATGTCTCGAGGTCTTCACGCAGGGAATTGCTGTCACATGCAGCATCTATTTGTTGCCTAGGAAGACGAGCGATTGATCAGAACGCCCTTGCCACAGTTTGTGGGTTAGGTGTCATTCACCAGGTGTGCACACTCAAGACAGCAAGCTCAGTTAAATCAGTCTTTTCCCTTCTCTTCAAACATAAGCAGCCATTTTCGGCACAGAAGGAGGCCATTCAGCCCATCGTGCCTGCGACAGAGCTGCCCGCTTTCTCCAAATCGTCCTTTTATTTAATTAATTCCCACTCCCCAGGTCTCTTCTCACGTTCATGCTTAATCTTTTTGCTGCTCAGGTGCTTATCAAGTTCCCCTTTGAATGATTCTCTTGATCCAGCCTCAATAGCCTCTTGAGAATGAGTGTGTGCACAGATTACAGGCTCTGTATGAGATTCAATCTCTTATTCTCGCTGCACAGTGTGATGGTGATGTAGCCTCAACAAAAGAGTTGACAGCAAAGGGAAGGAAGGGAACAAGGCTAAAGAGCGGGGGCACAACCGAGTATGGCTTGGTGGCAGGAGAGGTGGGTTCAGGACTCCACAGTACATCAGGGGAAACCATGGATGTGAGCACTGTCAACACGAGAGTTGTGATGGAGATGAAGAGAGGCAGGGAATGGCATTTGTTTGAAGTTATAATAATAATAACAATAATATAATAATCCTTGCATTTGATATCGCGGCTTAAAATGTCGCCGAGACGTCTCCGAGCGCTTCACAAGTTTTTACTGTGAAGCGCAGTGACTGTGTTTATAGGCAAACGTGGCAGCCAATTTGGTCAGAGCGATGTCCCACAAACAAGCCATGAAACACATGATAAATTTTATCCAGGGGATTGTTGGCTGGGACACTGGGAAAAACATTCTTCTCTCTCCTAGCAGTCCAGGGGAGCCTGACCAGTGCGCGGTGCAGGCTGAGTGTGATTCGAGGGGATGTGAACTGAAATGACCTCTTTGCCACGTGTTTTTCTGTCTCATTCAGTCAGGACACGGCAAGAGATACGTCAACCAAACATTCTCCTCCCTTTCCCCCAAAAGGGCTCTTCTAGCTTCTTGCCTTGACAAGTTGTAAACCCAATCTGGGGAGCACACGTGTCTACTGTTATTCCTTCATATGCAGCGACTTACATCTCTCTGGAACGACGACAACAACTTGCATTTGTATAACGCCCCTCATGCAGAGTAGCGTCCCAGAGCGCTAGACAGTGGCGGAACACGACGCTGAACCTGGCGGGAAGAGGAAGATCTTCAGGCGAGACCTGAAAATGGGGAAGTGGGGGGGGCAAAGCGGAGATTCTCTAGTGCACTGAGACAAGGTTATTCCCTCACAGGGGGTTGATGGCGCATTCAAGTGGGATCAGATGTGCGAAGCCGATGTATTCACCCAAATGAGTCCTGGCTTCAACATTCAGCTGCCGGCTGTCCAAACAGAATAATAATCCGTTCACAACACTCCACACAGCTGGGTGGTGGGGCGGGTGGCGGGTCAAGGAAAGGGGGAATTTCAATCTCTTCCAATTAAAGCAAAGAACTCCGATTGGCACATCCTTGCCCCAAACCCACTCACTCCATCTCCTGTTTGGGGGACGGATTTAAGGCTAAGCCTTGGCTATTATCAGGTGAACAGAGACAAATACAATTTTTTTTTTAAAAAGAGAGATTGCCGCACAGTGATTAATTCACGCGCATTTCTCACAAGGAATTAATCAATTGAAATCAGGTTGTGTTTGGGATTTGGCTGCTGAAGGATAGCTGGAGGACTTGAGGGATTAGAAGCAGAAGGCTGAGGGGCAGGCACGGATTTCACGAAGCAAACAACCATACATTTGTGTGTTGCCTTAGATAAGCAGTCCTGCTGCCTGACTGAGCGCTCTGCTATCATAACAATAATAATAATAATAAATCTTGCATTTGATGTAGCGCCTTATCACGTCGTCGAGACGTCTCAAAGAATATTCTGTAAAGCGAATTGACTGTATATTTTGTGGGCGAAACGTGGCAGCCAATTGCGCACAGGCCAACTTCACAGTCTATGAAGGTGACAAGCTCTAAGTGTCCGTCATTCTCATTTGGTAGCACTTTTGCCTCTGGGTCGGAGAATTATAGGTTCAACCACTTCCCCCCCCCCCCCACCCAACCCAATCCCATTCCTTTGGCATTTTTTTTATTAGCGCTGAATTGTCGGGTGTGGTCCCACAAAATGCACAGTCACTCCACTATACAGTACAACAACAACAACTTGCAGGGTAGTGTCCCAGAGCACATTAGTCCCTATGAAGCGTCTTAAGGTGTCCTTCTGACATAAAAGACACTGTGCCATATGAGATATGAAAGGGAAATGAGGAAAGTGTAAAGGGATGAAGGTGAGAGCTCCAGAGGGAGAGCCTGCAGAGCAAGGACATGATAGGCCGAATGGCCTCCTTCTGTGCTGTAAGCTCTACGATTCTGTTTAGTAATTGGAAGCCAAGGAGATCAAAATGATTGAGCACTGCCAACAGTGATGAATGAAGTAGTTTTATTTCATATGGATTTAGAAGCTCGAGTCTCATTTTCGAGGGAGATTACAGTGCAAATCAAAACTGCGTGAGACCAAGATAAAAGTGAATACAACAACAACAACAAGATTACATTTGTATAGCGCCTTTCCCGTCGGGAGGACTTCCCAAGGCGCTGGAGAATAGAGACCCAGGAGGAGGATGCCAGAAAAACAAACAAGGTTTTCTTGCCAACATCTAATAGAACAGTCCTTTGTAGTGATGCCAAAAGATAATTATTTTTATATCTGAACTGTTTGTGTGTGTGTGTGTGTTTGTATGTATGTGTGTAAGATTGTGTCTGTGTGGGTGCATGTGACAGATGATTTGTGCGCGGTAATGTCCCACAAACAGCCATGATAGACCGACAGATTTGATCTGGGACGATTGATGGCAAAATGCTTAAACATTAATAATAATAATATTAATAATAATCCTTGCATTTGATATAGCACTTTTCATTAAGACAGAATGGTCTTGCGGGCGAAGACAAGGTGGAATTCTGGCTGTAGTGGAGCTTGGGAGAGAGAATAACTGTGCTCCGTTGGTGAGGCTTATTATTTCACACGGTGAGTGGTGCCTTCATGCATAATAGACAGCCCAAACCAAATGAAGTCATAGCAAACGTTTCTTCTTTGTAGGTTGAAAGCCTCGAATCTGACCTCGCGCTGACCACACAAACCTTACAGGATGATGTCTTCAAAGGAAAAGCAGAAAAAGAAGCTCCCAAAAGACAGCATGACCCTACTACCGTGCTTCTATTTTGTCGAGGTGAGTGCTTCTGTTCAAAGCCGTGCACTGCACTGGAGAATCAATAGAGCAATGAGAAGCTAATTGATTCCCCTGTTGTAAGGCAAACGCGGAACACAAATTCTCGCTGAGTTCTACCTTTCCCTTCCTGAACTAAGCAATTTCATTAAATCCTTCCCCACCCCTTTTCTTTGCAATGTATTTCTGGTTAGCAAAGTCCGCAGGACTCCAATGGCTAACTAGGGTTGCCATGTATCAGAGTGAGAGAGTATGGGGTTCTCTTGTGTGCACCCTAGTGGCTGTGTGTGGAGCATCACTGGAATCTCTCCCAGCCTGTCTGACGGAAGGCAACATTGGTCCCTAAAGCAGACGATTTGTTCAGAAAAATAGGAATAATCGGTTCCTGAATAAGCAATATTTTATTCCAGGATTTATACTAGTCGTACAGGCAGGGAGCCAAATACAGTGTAGAGAACAAACTGGATAAGAAGGGCCTGGGTCCCTTCCAGATGACGGCTTTTCATGTCTCTATTATCTGTATAACACAGATGTCTCAAGTGACCTGAGGCTTGTGATAGAAGGTGAGCTGATTGGACAATTAGTGCAATTTGGCAGTGAACAAGGGATCCAAGTACTCAAGGCGATTCTTCTGCAAAGATGCCCGAGTTTGAGAATGAAGGAGGGACTCGTTCACTGATTAATGGTGGTAATCACCTACCCTGCTGTGCCAGTGACGCAGCCAAATATACCAGCCACCCCCGGGCTAGCAATGCGGAAGGATTCCAGCTGTACTTTTGCTGGTCTTCACAAGCAAACGCAGTCAGAGAATGAGGCGAGCCCTGTTACCCGGTTCTGATCTCGCCAAGCTGGTACCATGGGAGGAATGAGGTGGCCAAATCCTCTGCTGCTCAATCTCAGGAACTAGGGGAGTCCAGAGGGTGAAGGGGTCAGATTGTAGACTTTTCCCCAGCACTGTACTGGAGGACCAGCCCAGACTATGTGAGTGTGAGTTCAAAGTCCCGACATGGGGTTTAGAAACCCCAACCGTATGACTCAGAGGTGATAGTGCTACCGAGCGTTGGGTTTGTATAGTGAATAGGCTATTCCACTGCCTGGTTCTCTATATGGTTGTCCATTAGGTTAACGCTAATGGGATCGTTTGGAACTGTTCACAATAATAATTCTTACATCTGATATATCTTTCACATCTTTCACAGAGGGTGGACATATCAAAGCGCTTCACAGGTAATACTGTAAAGTGTAGTGACAGCACTTGCCTTCTTTGACATTTGGTGCTCAGCTCAGTTCCTGTGGGGTCTAATTTGCAATAATAGCAATAGACTTGCAGGTTGTCAGGCTGACATTCTGTGATGATACCCAATGTTCAGACTCAGTTCTCTGACACTCAGGATTAGCCTCGTTCCTCACTGCTTCTTTCCCTCTGCCCGTAATCGGAGTTTCTCTTGGTCGACAATGGGTGCAATTGGCTGCCGCGTTTCACCCACAAAATGCAGTCACTCCGCTTTACAGTGTATCCTGTAAAGCTCTTCGAGATGTCTGTCTCCACAACGTGATAAGGCAAGGACGCGGCAGGCAATTTGACTGGTTTGGAGTCAGGACGGATGCTGCATCCTTGCCCCGCAATGTAAATGCGGTTGTAGAAATAACGAGGAGAAAAGAACGGGCATCCAAGATTGCTTTAGACGAGCACCGATCAGATGCTGCCTGACTCCTTGTGTGCTGAGTTGTGACACCAATTTGTTGGGCTGCATTGAAGCATGCAGGACAGTCAGGCTGTGCAATCATTGCCAGCACAGCTACAGGCACTGGTCACCTGCCTGGGGACAGGTAACAGCACCGTGCAGGTTAACAACTGAGATTCCATTAAAAGCTACAGATATCTCCCATTGTAACGTGTCATGTGACAATCCAGTAAAATATTCTTCACCATTATGGGCTTGTTGGGTTATTGATCTAAAACTGCCAACGCACCAGCAACCACATCTAAGAGATGAACCTCGCCTTCGATCCAGCACCTTGAATGTTGGGAACGTTTCGCAGAGCTTCACAGTGTAGTGACTGTGTATTTGTAGGGGGACGCGGCAGGCAATTTGCGCACGGCAACGGCCCACAAGTAACCGCTACCAGGTCGCAAGATTGGTTCCCATGAAGAGGACCCTTTGGGAGTGAGGGAGGAATGAGTGATAGACCAGGCTCGGGAAAGAGGATGGAGGTGATGGAGATCGCAGATCCAGGTGGAGAAAGGTTGCGCAGGGATCTGAAGTTGATTTGCTGGGAGCAGCAAATCAACTGGGAGCAGCTAACAGATGATTCAATTACCTAATGATATCATTGAGGACTCTAGATCACTGAAGTCAATTAGCAGGTGGTAATGAAAACTGTTTGCATATCTATGTGCTGCCTCTTGATCTGATGGTGTTTAGTGTTTCAGCCTAGGAGCATTGTAAGAGCATTAAAACATTAAATGTCACATGAGACTGATGCTCCTTTTCCCATTTCAAGCTTGATGGAGATGAGCCCAACACTCAGTAACGCTTTAACATTTCCTACAGCAAGACTTCCTTGCGGAAATCAAAATAGACCTTTAGGAGAGAAGGAAATTAATATTTTTTTTCCTGAAATGGGCGACTGGTTAGTTTATGTCACCAATTTATCAGTACGAGATGGTGACCCTTGCAAATACCAAAAGCTGTGGAGATAGAATAAATTGGGATGTACAGGAGGGAGATGGACAGTTACTTGGGAAGTAAGGGTATTAAGTGGATGGGGAACAGGTGAGAGACTGATCCACCGTGGCCTCAGAAGGGAGTTGCTCCCAGTCTCCTGGCCAACAATCATCCAAATAAAACAGTAAATTCTGTGATGTGCTTTGCCACACGTTCCTAGCGTGAAAGGCGTTACATCAAATGTAATGATTATTAGGATCATTTAAAACCAGGAGAAATCTGGGGCTTAGAATCTTGCTCCAGGCACAAGGCGGGTTGGCAGATAACCCATTAATAATTCAAGCCGACAATTACCATGAAAACCTGCTGTGTACCGTCCCAGACAGTGTACAAACCACAGTGTCTCAGGGTGTGGATTATTCCCCAGATAGGACACATAACTGGTTGCTTTTTGTATCACTTGTTACGCGGGGATCCCTGCTTTGCGGCATTCCTTGCGCTAATTAACACGAGAAATACCTTAAGGAATACGGCACGTTTCGCTGCCATTTTAACTGAGCGGCCGTGTGGGCCAATGGGACATTTTACCGTGGGGTTTGTTCCTCACCGCAGCCTGACGCCGTCGTCTTGATCGAAAATGACGTTGTTCCCATTAACGAGCTAATAACTGCAGCGAGGTTGGGGAAATCGGGTCTGGATGCTTGATGCGTTCACAAATGTGGCGCCAGCAGGTGGTCAATACAGACTGGGACGCTTTGTTGCTCTGTGCGAAGCGACGTGACTCTTTGGCACATTCAAGCTCAGCTGCTGATTGCTATGGAAACCTGGGGCCAGGAAACAGGTGTCTTGTCCCGGGTTGGCAGTGACCATGGAAATTGGAGTCGGCGTGACGAGGAATGTCAGCCCTGGTTGCTGCAGGGGACGGTGGGCTCAGCCTGCTCACAATGGTGCTCTTCATGTCTCTCTCTCTCTCTGTACCTCATTCTCTCTCTCTCGCTCTCTCTCTCTGCGTTACTCTCTCTCTCCCTGTCTCAGTCTCGCTCTGTACCTCACTCTCTCTCTCCTTTTCTCAGTCTTGCTCTGTACTTCATTCTGTGTGTGTGTGTCAGTCACCGCTTGTCCCAGTCTCTCTCTGTGCCTCAATCTCTCTCCACGTATCAGGTTTTCTCCATGTCTCAGTCTCTCTCTGTGTCTCAGTCTGTCTCTATGCTTCATTCCCTCTCTCCCTCGTTCTCTGTGTGTGTCTCAGTCTCTCCCATGTCCTAGTCTCTATGTCGTACATCACACAGTCAAGGCTTACATTGCGCTGCGATGTCAAAGGTGCTGTTCCTTGAATGAGTTGATAAACCCAGTTACCGTTTGCCTGTAAAGTGGATGGATGATCCCGTGGCACAATTCGAAAAGGGAAAAGAGTTTTGCCTGGTGTCCTGGCCAACAACTCACCCCAAATAAAACCCAGCAGTCACTTCATGTCTGTTGGTTGGATATGTGCAAATTGATTGCTTCGTTCGAGTAGGGTCACTACACTTTACACTAAGACCCGTGAAGTGTTTTGAGACTCTTTCCCCCCACCCCCCTCCCCATGTCAAAGGAGTTTATCAATGATAGAATTATTATGTACTTTCGTTAAACTTCTCCCGATACTACAATCCTAAACCCGAAGCTCGATGATCCAGCATTTTTCCCGCAAAGGCACAGATTGTGCTTGGCAACTTTCACACCTTGTGTCTATTTGTGCGTGTGTGGCAGGCGGGAGCCTGGTTTAACTGCTCACAGCTCCTACCTTACGTGCTCCTGGAGCGCGCTCGCTCTGTGTTGTTCTGCGGTTCTGTCTGGATCACTGTTATCTGCTTTATTGATTGTAAATAACCAGCTGAGACCACTCTAATGGGTAAGGATGGTCCTAGCTGGACAAGCATGCCAGACATTGCTCTCAATGGCAAGCCATGTGGTTTTAGCTGCTCAGACTCCAGTAGTTACCTCAACGCACACTCTAGGGTCCCCAAGCCTTGGCTCTTGCCAACCTGCGCCAAATACTTTCCGGAATTAGGTAAACAGGATGCATCCCTCCAGGGAGAGAGAGCGCATTCCATTCCAACAATCTGTCTCTGGGAATTACCGTGTGTAGGTGGGATGCATGGAAATCTCAGTTAGGTTTGGATACTCTTAAGCATTCCGCAGTCTAACAAGCCTCTGTATGAACTGTTCAGATCACGACTGAAGACCTACCTCTTGGACCGTGCTTATGGTCAACTCCTCCCTAATCCCAGCTCGGTGTCAGGCTCCGCCACTGTCAAATGCCCCAAGACCCTGCCCTGCGTGAAGGGTGCAATATTAAATACAAGTTGTTGTTTAGCTGCTGTGCTGGTATCAGGGTAGCTTTGCCCAGCAGTGAGAGACCTGCACTGATGCTGTACCCTTTCTCTTACAGCTTCCAATTGTCGCCTCGTCCATCGTCACACTTTACTTCCTGGAGCTGACGGACCTCTTCCGACCGGCCAGGGTGGGCTTCCAGTGCTTCGACCGCTCGCTCAGCATGCCCTACGTGGAGTCCAGCGAGGAGCTCATCCCCTTGCTGATGCTCCTCAGTCTCGCATTCGCAGCCCCCGCAGCTTCTGTAAGTAGCGCAGTCTTCATTCAGACAGCCACCGCTGGGTAAGGAGAGGTCAAAACTGGGCTTGAACAGTGGGGTGCAGAGTGATACAGGGACTGGGTGATGCAGTCCACAATCCACTGCTGTTTGTGGGACACTGCTGTGCGCAATTGGCTTCCGTGTTTCGCCCACAAATTACACAGTCAATCCACTTTGCAATATATTCTGTAAAGCGCTTTGAGAAGTCTCACTAATAATAATTATCTTGCATTTGATATGGCGCCTTATCATGTCTTCGAGGCGTCTCAAAGCGCTGCACAGAATATACAGTGAAGTGAATTTACTGTATATTTTGTGGGCGAAACTCGGAAGCCAAATGTGGGCGCACGAAACATAGTCACTACTAATCGCGCACAGCCATGTCCCACAAACAGTTGTGGACTGAGTGAACAAATCCTACTTACTGCTGGGTAAACAGAGGCGTGTGGAGCAAGGAAACTTGCCTAGGGTTTCTTCCTGCCTGGGAATCGAACATGGGACCTCTTGCTACAGGATTCCACAATTATTATTATTGTGTCCGCGTTCTTTCAATGCAGATTATGATTGGAGAAGGGATTGTATACTGCTGTCAATCAAAACTGAAGAACAAGGAGGGTTCGGAGGGCAGTATCAATGCGGGAGGCTGTAACTTCAACTCCTTCCTGAGACGCACTGTCAGGTTTGTGGGTAGGTTTGATGTGTCCGCAGCATGTCTTCCCTTATTAATCGATGCAAAACATCCTGTTATAACACTGAATTGCCTTAACTGAAAAAGTCTGTGAAAGCTAAGCCCATAAGAACATCTGAAAGGGTTTTGCATTCAAAGGAATTGTGGAGGAAAATGATTAAGGAGAAAATTATTATTCTGAGGAAAGAGCAGGGGAAGGGGATTAGAGTAGATAAAATAACAATACTAATAATCCTTGATACGGCGCCTTTCATGTCGGAGTACGTCTCAAGGCACTTCAGAATATTCACCGTGTAGTGTAGTGACTGTGTATTTTTAGGTGTCTTGTATTTGTATAGTATCCAATTTCTCATAACAATGTGCCATCCTTTGGATGAGACTTTAAACGGCCTTTTCAGGTGAACTTAAAGATCCCATGGCATTATTCAATAAGACACCCGGTATCCTGGTTGACAATCTCCCAAATCAATCTCACTTTGTGGCTGTTTGTAGGACCGGGGCCTTGTAAAAATGCTGTGTTTGCCTACAAACACAATGCTTGTCAGTAATTACAGTAAAGTGCTTTGAGACGTTTCGATGCGGTGCTATGGAAATGCAATTTTTTCCTTCTGTGGATGAAATTGAGGTTGAGGTACCTTATTGGCGCAGTGTGGAGAGAGCCATATTGTGCTCTGTAACCAATGCCCTTCAACCCTTCCTAATCCCCTCAACTGTACCTGGCTAACCATACCCTTCTATTCCCTTCTGTCTGAAGTATGCTGCTAGTGTTTTACTGTTGGTTGGTTAGCTGGTTCTTATTAGCCAGTTAGCAGGTTACCAGCTTTCTTCGGATGAAGACAACCCATTTGATTTCACATCAAGTCTCTGTGAGGTTACAGTGTAAAACTGAGAAGAGGGACACAGATGGAGGATTTTATGCAGCTTTCTTCTCAATGGCGATTTTAGCTGGTTAGACTTCAGCAGTTACCCCCAACGAAGACCCTTAAGCCTTGGCTCGTGCCAACCCACAGCAAAATGTGAGCAGGGTAATGTCTCTCTGGGGAGAGAGAATGTACACTCCATTCCAGACGCAGCAAAATTTCCACGCATGCATAATGTGGAACTCTCATTCTGGTTTGCAGTCTTAAGCACAGCGGGGGCGTGAAATGTGACATTTTGCAACATGTTCAATGTGGTAATTATCACATCAAATCTCTCTCTATGATACGTCGCATTTATTCACCCCGCTATCTTTGATAGCGTGCGTGGACATAAAAGATAATTTCTGCCTTTGATTCCGTCCTTTAATGAATCGCGATGCTAAGAGCTTGCTTTTTCTCTTCCTGCGTTTCAAACATTTTTTTATTTTATGTCGAGTTCCTTTTACCATCTGGTTTGTTTTGCTCCAGAAAGAGAGAGAGAGAGCACTTGCTGCCTCGTCAGCGATGCTTCCTCTGTGAATAATTCTCCCCTGTCTAAAAAGCAAACTGAGAAGAGAAAAGGTGGATAAAAATACAGACAGAAGACAACTGGGAGAGCGGAGGCGAGGAGGAGGAAAATGTGACATTTCTGAACTGGTTCAATGTTATTAAAAAGAAGAGGGTATTATCCTTGTATTTGACCTAGCGCCTTTCACATCAAAAGGATGTCTTAAGGCACTTCACGGGATTTACTGTCAAGAGTAGTGACTGCATATTGTGTCGGCAAAAGCAGCCCCCAATTTGCACACAGCGACCTCCCACCAACAGCCATGAAGTGAGTAACCAAATGTATCTGGAGGATTGTTGATCAGGACACCGGGAGACAGAAACTTCCTTCTGTTTTTGAGCAGTGCCATGGGATCTTTTAACATCCCCCTGAACAGGCACAGACGTGATCTCGGTTCAACGTCTCGTCCAAAAGAAGGCACCTCAGACAATCCAGCGCTCCTCCCCAGCCCCAGCCTCGAATCTGTTCTGAAATGTCACATTTTTTACTGCACGGACTAGTTGGGCTGAGTGACTAGTTCCATGCTGTTGCCTTCTGTGTGTTTCTTTCCAACTTTAAGCCAATACGACCTTGTGAGCTAAGACTAGGTGGAATTTGGGGCCTCAGTTGGCCTGGTGCTCACCTCTGACTGGTGGCCTTTATGTTCTGTAGTTTGGCGAGGGCCCAGTCTGGCTTATGTAACGTGCTGTCTTGTCTTTTCAGGTGTCCATGTGTTCGGTCTCTGTGCTACTGCCCTTGTGACAGATGTCATACAATTGGCAACAGGTTACCACGCCCCCTTCTTTCTGACTGTGTGTAAACCCAACTACACGCTCCTCGGCATGGCATGTGACACCAACCCCTACATCACCCAGGACATTTGCTCTGGGCCAGACCATCACGCCATTGTCTCCGCAAGGTAACCAATCTTTAAGCGCTCCGAGACACCGACCCGCGAGATGGCCTCAATGTACATGCAAGTTGTTGTTGTCTCACTCCGCTCAGCCTCCCACTCCATCTCTATGAAACATTTTGAGGTGTTTAAGGTTGTGAAAGGTGCTGAACGAGCACGTGTGGTTATTGACTGGAGATTGGAAGTCGAGGCGAGGATTGAGCTGGGACGGTGTTTGAGGCCGGCCAGCGTTTCGAGCTGTGAGGCATGAAGGAGGGGATTAGCAAGGCTGAGCTAGTCCCCATCTGATAGGAGGAAAAGAAGGAAAGAAAGAGAAAGACAGTGGATTGTGGTTTTATTATCTCATCACAAGAGACAGCTAGAAAAATATAAAAGAGACGCATAAAATGATTAGGTGGCACTGAGTCCAGGCCGGACAGTGGGGAGAGTGGGGATGAATGAGCTATTCAACAGTTCGATGCAAGAATATGAAAGGCATTCACAAGGTAATTAGATTCTCGCTGGTTATATATCTCGCAACTCGTTCGCCACAGGGCACAACTGTGAAGGAACGAAGTGGAGCACAAACTCTGATTTAATCAGAGCACATTAGGCACCGAAAATAGCTCAGCGACAGAGAAGGCTTTGAACGGTGACAAACAGCACAGTCGTCACTGATATCTTTACCGTAACGCCTCAGGGAGGTGGACTCAACAACCAGTGCTGAGTGAATACAGTCAGAGCCTGAAAAGTTTTGAGACGTCTCAAAGACGTGATAAGGCGCTATATCAAATGCAAGGATTTTTATTGTTATTATTATTACGGCTTCACGTTTTACGTGCAATCCTGGAAATTGGAGTCGAGGTACAGATCAGCCATGATCTAATAGAATGCCGGAGCAGGCTCGAGGGGCTGAATGGTCTACTACTCTTCCTATGTTCCTATGAATTTGTTGTGTTCCTGGCACTGACTGACTGGCAGGATCCCTGATCAGACTTTGATTAAGTTTCCTTTTGAATAAGGGGTGCGTTTTAAATGATCTCAGCAGATCGGAGAGTGTTTGAAGCTGCAGGACACTTTGCGTTCAGTAACTGTCACAGCGTTTAACTCAATCTGATGGCGGTGATGAAAACCTTGGGCTCATCCAATGGGGGAGAGTTTCTAAACAGCCAGTGATTTGTCATGATTATCCAACGGTTTTCGGGTAGGCTAACACCTTGAAACACTTTCCAGGAACGGAGCAGAAAACCAAATAAGTTTGAAAGTGTGTGTGGACGAGGAGGGGTGGGATAGGGAGGGGTGAGAGAGAGTTGAGGGAAGGCGCGATCCAAGAGGTTGGTTAATTATCACATCAAAACTGTTAAGAAACATTGCGATTTTCATCCCGACCCCTTTCATCCCCTGACAGAGATTGTTAAAGAGACTTAATAGGGTCTGAAGTGCTGTGACCACTGACTAGGGCACGTCTGAGAGGTCGATCCCCTAGTGTCACTGACAGTGAATGGGATGTGCTACATTTCCAAATCGGCCCCAGCCCATCGGTTTCTTTGCACAGATGAGTTCCCTGCTAATAACACGGCTTACATATGTGTCCGTCAATAAGGAGCTTAATTGCAGGTAAGCTGCACAGCTGTAGTGCTGATTCTCTTAAGCTTATTAACCGTGTTGTCAGATAATGGGATTTGTATTGTTGAGGTGAGTTGATGTTCTGTCAAGCGCTCACTGTGATGAGGGGAATGTGAGGCACGGCTCCTCTGATATTCCTATTTTCACACACAGCGTAGGCTGAGTTACATTGATGGGAACAGACTCCATGCCAATACACCCACTTCTTCTACTCAACGATATCCGACCTCTGATGTCTCATCCATTTGTTCAGCAAGTGCAGTTTGACACTCTGTTGGCTTTCATTCGCCCACGAAACACACAGTCACTGCACTTTACAGTAAATCCTGTGAAACAAAAACAACAACTAACAAATTGCAATTGTATAGAACCCTACACGTCGAAAGACGTCCAGGATGTCTCAGAGCACTTTAAGATGTCCTCCCGACGTGAAAGGTGTTATAACCAAATGTAAGTATTATTAGTAATTATTATTATCTCCTTGTTTACAGGAAGAGCTTCCCTTCCCAACATGCCACCATCTCCGCCTTTGCCGCTGTTTATATCTCGGTGAGTGACTCTCTCATACCTTTGCTCTCGTGTTTCACATGTGGAGTTCAACCCCATCACTGGTTCAGTTGGTAGCGCTCTTGCCTATGAGTCAGAAGGTTGTGTGTTCAAGCTCCACATCGGGACTTTGAGCTCATATAGTCTAGGCTGACGCCCCAGTGTAGCGCTGAGAGAAAGCAGCCATTTAAAAGCTAGCTTGATGCTGTGATAGGGGGAATGGGAGGGTGGGTGTTCTGGAAGGATGAGATCAGCCGGCTCTCTTCATCCGAACCAACCTTGTGATTTTGCGAAGTGAAATTCTTAAACAGAAGAAAAATCTCCGATCTGGCGAGCCGGTGTCTTTTTACTTTCCCAGATGTATTTTAACTCCACGATATCGGACTGCACCAAACTGCTGAAGCCGGTGCTGGTGTTCGCCTTTGCGATTGCCGCGGGTATCTGCGGGCTGACCCAGATCACCCAATACCGCAGCCACCCCATAGACGTGTACGTGGGGTTCGTCATCGGAGCTGGCGTGGCTGCATATTTGGTAAGTTGCCGACGGGAAGAACCGACTCCTGTAGAATAATAATCATCATTCGATATATCGTCTTATCACTCGTCGAGACGACGACAACAACAACAACAACTTGCATTTCTATAGCGCCCCCTCACGCAGGGTAGCGACCCGAAGCAGAGACGTCTCAAAGCGCTTCACAGAATACACTGTAAAATGAATTGACTGCATATTCTGTGGGTGAAACGCGGCAGCCAATTGCGCGCAGCAACGTCCCACAAACAGTCGTGGAATGAATGAGCAAATTTTTGGTGGGGGTGGGGGGGAGGGTTTGAGGGATTATTACCCCTAGAAAGTGATCTGCCAATCGACTAACAACCGGGATCCTATTTATTGCTAGGTAAACAAGGGTGTGTGGAGTAAGGAAACTTGCCTAAGGTTTCGCCCTGCCCGGGAATCAAACCCGGGTCCTCTCGTTTGCGAGGCGAGCGTGCTAATCACTGTGCTACTGTACACCTGCACTCAGTGAGTTCCGGGTGTATTTTATTGACCTTTTGCTGTGAGCGGCTTTGATGTAATTTGTCCTGGCAATGTGTGGCTGCTGATTAATGAGCATTTATTTATGACACGGAATCGATTGAGAAAGACCAGCAATGGGGAGCTGTCTGGCCTGGAGCCCGGGATCCTCATTAACTATGTGTCAGGAGACATTAAGACAGAGTTATCTGATCACCAATGTGATTCAAAGCCAACGCCATGGGATCTTTAATGTCCATCTGCTCAGGCAGACTGGACCTCAGGTTCTATTTCTATATCTGAAGGGCGGCACCTCTGACAATGCAGCACACACTCAATGGTGCACTGGAGTGTCAGCTTAGACTGTGTGAGTTCAAAGTCCCGACGTGGGGCTTGAACCCGCAACCTTTTGATTCAGAGGCAAGAGTGCTACCAACTGAGCCAAGCTGGCATATATTGGCTGGCCTCTTTAGCTTTCCCATGGCACAGCCAGTACGGGAATATCCAAGCATTGCTGTCCTGTAGCAGCCTTCTCACCTGGGAGCACTGAGGCATAGAGGCACAGCTGAGAGCAAAGCACGGTCAAACAAAATGGCCACCAATCATCATTGCACCTTCCAGGCTGACCGCTCGCACTGCTCTTGCAGAACGACGGGCATGGCAGCTGTGAGATGGGTGAGGGGTGAGAAGCTGGAGCACAGATCGGAGCTGAGAGAAAGTGGTGAGGGCTGTGATGGTTACTGCTCCATCACAGCTCTGGCTGAAGGTACGGTTGGTGTATCTGAGCTGGAGGTTCAAGATTGATTGTAGCTGAGGACATGTCACTGAAACCCATTGGTTTGTTGCGGCAAACTGAGATCTGTTCTTTATGATAATGTAAACAAAAGTGAGTGGAGGCCCCAAGGTGATTGGTGCTGAGGAGAGGGATGAGATCGACAGTGAAGGGTAAATGGTCCCATCGGGTTCATACAGCATATGATGTGTGAGGAATTTAATTATTATCATCGTTAAGCAAACTGCCACCACCTCCTGAGGCCTCGCCACCATTAAATATAACTGTTATATCACTCACGCCAACCACTGCACACCCCAGATTTGAGTAAAATATTCTTTCCCCCTTCCCACCCCCACTCCAGGGCCATTGGAGGTAGGACAGAGCCAATGGGGGAGGGGGGGAATTGGGGAGTAGAGAGTGTTGGAGCAGAGGGAGTTGGGAAGAGGGGACAAGAAGTCGGATGAGAGGCAGTCAGGAAAGAGGGCAGGAAGTTGGGGGGAGAGGGGACAGGAGAAGAGAGTAGGGAATGGGGGAGCCTGATTTACAGACATTTGAACCTGATGCTTCTTTCCAGGCTGGAAGGAAAGCGAGCTACAGTCTAGCATCATCATGAAGAGCAAAATCACTGAGACAGCGACTCTGCCGACCTAGAAAAATAAACAAGCCCATTTTATTATTAACAAGCTTTTTTTTATTGCAAAAACTCATTAAAATGAAAAGATTTCTTACCACCTTTCCTCAGTTCCAATCTATGCTCCAACCCCTGCCCCTCACCCAACTCACAGCCCTCGTGCCTGTCACTCTGCAACACTCTATAATAATAATAATAATAATAATCCTTGCATTTGATATAGCGCTTTTCACGTCGGGAGGACGTCCCAAAGCGCTTCACAGAACACACTGTAAAGTGAATTGACTGTATATTTGTGGGCGAACGCGGCAGCCAATTGCGCACAGCAATGTCCCACAAACAGTCGTAGATTGAAAATGACCAATTTAATTATTGTTTTTGGTTTTGGAGGGATTATTATTAGGCTCTGTGTGGAGTAAGGAAACTTGCCCAAGGTTTCGCCCTCTGCCTGGAATTGAACTCAGGTCTCTCACTTGCAAAGCGAGTGCTCTAACCACTGAGCTACAGGACTCCACTCTGAGGAGGAAGTGGTCTGCTATGTGCCACGTGGAAACCTTGTGCAAACCATGTGTTGAGATAACAAAAAGCAGTGCGAGCGGTCAGTCTGGGATGTGCAATGACAAGTGGGTGAATCAATCAATGATGCTCCTTTGTACAGGCCGATGGGATTACATTGGGATTAGAGAGATAAAGGCTGGCTAAACCTCAATGCACATTACAATAGCCTGTGAAGGGGGGACACGATGTACTGTATCGCACAGGAGCAGCGCTTTCTGTGTTATATACAGAGCGCACCCCTATGCTAAAGTACTTCGCTAGAGTGAGAGTCAGTTTATAACTCGGTCGTCCTGTGGGGTACACTTCCTCCCAACTTTCAGCGGACACTGCCCGATTTCTTGCGCACATACACTCAGGAAGTAAGCCATGAATGGTCCCACAAGCGGAGTCCTGTAACTCAGTGGTTAGAGCACTCTCTTTGCAAGCGAGAGACCTGAGTTCAATTCCTGGCAGAGGGCGAAACCTTGGGCAAGTTTCCTTACTCCACACAGAGCCTAATAATAATCCTCCAAAACCAAAACAATAATAAATTGGTCATTTTCAATCCACGACTGTTTGTGGGACATTGCTGTGCGCAATTGGCTGCCGCGTTCGCCCACAAATATACAGTCAATTCACTTTACAGTGTGTTCTGTGAAGCGCTTTGGGACGTCCTCCCGACGTGAAAAGCGCTATATCAAATGCAAGGATTATTATTATTATTAAGCATAAGGAAGCCAGACAGGAAGCAGGAAGTGGCGGTCATTACAAATTTTCCAAATGTTTAAAACAAATCTGAACGGACAGATTCGAGTGAATTTAACCCTTGAATCGCACTTTTTTAGCAACTTGTGAATTTTTCAACATCGCCCCCCCCCACCCCACAACCCACCCCATTGCCCCCCTCTCTCCACTCCCCCTCTTCCCCCCCCCCCCCCCTCACAGGGTTTTCACGCTGTGGGCAATTTCAAAGCTTCAGAAGATTCAGTCCCCACCAGAGCTCCTGCGAGCGACGGGCTCAGACCCCTGACCCATCTCCGGCACGACTCCGTCTACCAGCAGAGCAAGTCCATCAGCAATGATGAATTGAGTCCCCAGCCCAGGCTCGACAGCCTCAACCACCACGCACAGCGAGAGAAGAACTCCCTGAACAGCCTCAAGCGGGCGAGTGTCGATGTGGAGCTGTTGGCTCCTCGCAGCCCGATGGGCAAGGAGAACATGGTGACCTTCAGCAACACCCTGCCCCGGGTCAACACACCAAACCTGGACGAGGCCGCCAGGCGACACATGACCATCCATGTCTCCATGGACGCCTCCCGCTCCAAGCAGCTCATCTCCCAGTGGAAGCAGAAGTCCCTCGACGGAGGCTCCCTTGACCGCGACCCGTCCATCAGCCAATCCCAGCCTCACATGAGGACGGTCCTGGAGGCCTGCGACGGAGAGATGGACCAAGATGAGCCCATCCCCTCGTCCCTCTACCCCACAGTCCAGGCCAGAAGCGGGGAAAGGGGTGCCGGGGCGCGGGTGATGATCCAGGCCAGACCCGGGTCCTCGCAGTTGGTCCATATCCCCGAGGAGACCCAAGGGTCGGTCAGCACTTCGCCCAAGAGTAACTCGGCTCGGGCAAAGTGGATGCTGATGGCGGAGAAGGGTGGTGTTCCCCGGCCCAATAACCAGCCGAGGATCATGCAGGTCATCGCCATGTCCAAGCAGCAGGGATGATCACAGTCACTCCCAAACACTCCGAGGGTTCCAGCAGCTCTGATTCCTCCCACTACAGATCGCCCTCGGAACGGGATTCCTCCAGCATGGTCACCGTGGACGCCCACGGCTCCCACCCCATCGTCCACATCTCTTCTGGGAACGGTGGGGTCGGATCCTGGGAGTGGAAGTCTCCGCAGAGCAGCGGTGGAGCTGACCTGCATGATGCCTATGAGATGAACGACCTGAACAGAGACTACAGAAGCTTCAGATCTGCTACGGGGAGCGGTGTCTCTCCAGGCTCCTCCGCCAGCGACCTGGAGCAGGAGGACACCCGCTTCTGCAGTGTGGCCACCATCAACGTGACAGGGGCCGAGAGGGGAGAGACTAACTCTGACACCTTGACCATCACCTCCAGCCGGGACTCAACGTTGAGGAGAAAGCCCAACACCATATTTATAGGGGATCGAGAATCCAGCACAGACAGTGATCAGGACAATTACTACAAGAAGCTTCAAGCCAACAGGAGGTTCAAGGACTGAAGACGTCCCTTCATCCCGAAAGACATTCCTTGTAGATAGCTTATTGGGACATTGAGAGTACCGACTATCTACAAGGCCTTGCTTTTGAGAGTTTTGATCTTTGGAATGGATTTTCTTCTCCCATTGGACCATAAGGATTGAGTGGTAAAGCCAAGGAAATTCTGTTTGAATACATCGACCAACTCTGGTTTGTACATTCTACAAGGCTAAACTTGGGGAGGGTTTACTTAGGATTGAACTTCAGAAACTGGTGGTCTTGAAGCTATCTTCAACGATGCCAGCATAAAAATAACAATCCTTTCATTTGATAATTTGGCTTATCACGTCATCAAAACGCCTCAATGCGCTTCACAGGACTTTACTGTAAAGTGTAGTGACTGGGTATTGGTAGGCGATTGTGGAGGCTGATTTGCACGCAGCAATATTCCACAAAACACCATGAAGTGCAACAACCAATTTTACCTGGAAGGACAATGGGAGAAACTCCATTCTCTTTCCGAATAGTGCCATGGAACGTCCACTGAACAGGCAGACAGATCCTCGCTTTAACATCTCATCCTAAGGATGGCACCTCCAACAGTGGAGCTCGCCCCCAGCACTGTGCTGGATTTGCTGGACCTGATGATTAACCCTGTGTGCTGTTCATATCTTTTGCTATTTGAAGCAAAAAAGCACAGAGTTGTTTGTGGAACGATGCAAGATATTGTCAGTCATCTTAATTAAGGACAGGTTAAAATACCAGGAACTTGAGCTGAGAAGATGTCCCTTATCATTTATCCAATACTGTAATCCATTAATGTCCAGCCCCAAGAATTGTGAATGTACTACCATGCTCAGCGGAAGACACATTGGACAGGGTTAACTAGTACACATGTGCCAAATAATAGTCTGATTCTGCAAGGTACAATGTGCTGTATACTTGCCGGCAATTGTCCCATGTAAGAAATACTAGGGTGCTAAGATACATTGATTCACATGATATATTGGTTCCGAAGGGACAAATCAAAGCAACTCAAAAGTACCCTCAGTCCAAACATAAGTAAATCTCCACATTTATCCTTTTCACCCAACAGGTGATTGATACAGGACTGTGAAAAACCTGAGCTAAATGTAAAAAGAACTCGCAGCGTCTATATGGAATGTGCATTGTTCACTTTCAAGAATACAAGCAATATGTAGGAACTGAATCTGTTCCTTGTCCATTGGGACTCTATTATGGAATAAACGTGGTCTGTAGAGTTGTTTGTAAGATATTTTTTATCAGTAGCTTCAGCCTGTGTTTTGCTGGTTTTGGTTTCTTGGTCGCAGGAATAGGTAGAGTTCTTCCCAATCCTGATGTTATTTCCTGGTATTCCCAGTTGGATTTCTTCAACTCCCAGACATCAAGGGATGGAGTCTGACTGCAGGAAACCGGATAAGTCAATTTGCCTCCAACCCACATAGGAACATAGGAATTGCTAGACGAAAAAAGACCAAGGACCATTTCGTCCTCTCTACCATCCTCGTAGTTTCATGCTACAATAATGGAGATGTTGATAGCAATTAATTCCACCTTTTGGAAGACTATTCTTGACAGCCAGTGTTGCACTGGGGTGGGAGAAAGACTCTTGATGTTCTCTCCTCAACCTCTTGTTGGAGGTTCTGAGGGGCAGAAGATAGACCTAGAATTATAGGAGACAGAGGCACATGGGCAGAAATCACAGGACTAACACACTTAGATTTTGTTAATTTTCTTCTAATCGAAATCTGGGTTGGAAAAGATCTATTTGTGGTCTTTGACTTCCTCTAACCCAACCTGGCGACCAGCATTAGAAATGGATAAGAAGCTCTTTGTTATGGATGTTGTTTGATGGAAAGCTGCATTTGTTTTGAAGGGGGTTAATTTTGCGAGATTTCTTAATGGATTTCTTAAATGATGAAATTGTCACGCAAGTCCTTCCGATCGAGGGAACCTTGCTCTGATAACAGTGATGCTCCCGCAAATCAGTGTCACTGACTTCTGGATTTCTTATTTAAGAAATAGCGCAAAATCAACCCCCACCTCCCAAAATTTGTATTGAAATGTTTAAACTGGGAAATGAAACTTGTGAAATTAACAAAACAACCGTCCCGCATGATGTTAAATGACTGGGCAGTTTCTTAGATGACAGTTGGTGAAGCCAGGTTATGTGATACTGTAACAAACCTTTCAATGTCGGAGCTGGAGTGTAAACACACTCACTACACAATGTAGAACTGGGGTTAGGGATAGATCGCTTAATCTCAGTCAGACTGTTTAGATATATAGAGTTCCAGCTCCCCCCTCCTCCCCAAAGGCATTGCCTGATGTTGAACGGAGTTGTGTAAGCAAGGAAGGTTCCAGGCTCATTGCCTTCCTTATCTGTGATCGCAGTGGAGAAGGGATGCTACAATTGGCCTCAGTGTCCCTGGGCTGGGGAGGTTAGACAGAGAGAAATCCATGAGCCCTGATAGAGAGATAGAAAGATGGCTAGACAACGGGCCAATTGTTGGGTAAGGACAAGATCAGGGTTGACAGTGATTTCAATGGAGGATATGGTCCTAACATGAAGACAGTCCAATTGGGTCCAGTACCAGAGGGTAGGTGACCCCATCATGAGAAGGATGTGTGGGGGTGGGGGGGGAGGGTGAATATGAAAACAAAGAAATATCCCACTTCCATGGAAAGCCTACTCTCTCTGTCTATCTTGCCCAGTAGCAAGGCAGAGAGCAATGTTGGGTGAAAGCAGATCTGGAAGAGACGTAATGAAATTTGCAATTTAAAAAAAACACAGAAAAGAAGCACGGGGACAGTGGGCAAATTCATTGAAAGCTACGTTTATCACAAGTCAATGACCAATGGCTTCTCGGTGAGTGGGTATGAATACACATTTACTAACAGTGTTGAGGACTCCATGCCAACAGCACTTCGGGGATTGTCTGAATAATTACTATTTACATGAAGTAAAGTTGATATTGATTGTGAAGAATATTGCACCCGATATTGTGAGGCTAACTGTTGTGCCGTGCTAGTGATAACAGTAGAACCAGAGACCTGATATTCCATCTGGTCATAGTCTGTAAGACCGTTACATTTGGCTTAAAATTGAAGGTTGGGCAGATTTGTGGAAAATTCTTAAATTCAGTCTTAATTTGGAAGACAGTTCAGGAACATAGGCACACAGGAAGAGGCGGAGGCCATTCAGCCCACTGAGCCAGTTCCATCAGTTTATTCGATCTTGGCAGATGTTTTGATTGCCCTTTGGTTTTGGTCGGCCAGGTGTGTGACACATGTGGAAACCCATCAACGAGGTTAAGAGAATCCAAACCAACCTGAGAATTCCATGCTGACTGACTTTGTATAATTATTTATACAAATAAATTTAGACTGATTTTAAGGCTGTGACCCTCTTGTTTCAAGAATTGGTTCCAGGCTGAATTACAGCATTTTCCACAATTCTGTGCGATTCTCAACGTGAAAATAAAGTCTTACAGGCAAAGACGAGATGGGATTTGGGACCTCTGATATGCTGGAGTATTTTGTATTTGGGACGTGTTGTTCGGGCTGAATCAAACCTCAGCATTAATGGTGAAATAAATAAATCTTGTTTTAAGCTGCTGCTTTTATGCATTACTTTATTGGTTACTTTATAGATTAAAAGAAGGAACTTGTAATTTTATGCCTCATCATCATGTTGCAATGTCTCCAAGGGTTTCCGAGGCGATTATTGCTGAGTGTAAGTGGAATTGCAGTTGAAGGCATTCACAGTGAGATCCTCACACAGCTCCACCATCACAATGTAATCACGTGGCATCCAACACTGTCATCCATTAATGTCCTACTCCTTAAAATGCAAGAATCGTTGCAGTTCCAGCTGACAATACAATCCACATTACAAAACTAATTGCATACAATACAATTTACATTTATTTAGTGCCTTTCATGTCAGGAGGGTGTCCCAAGCTGGGGGCTGGAGCCGAGTGGATAGGGGAGGGGAAGGAACCTACAATGGTACAGATGTCCACCACTTTGCACGCCGTCAACGTTAGTGGTAGAGCCAGAGTAGTGAAAGACTAGTGTCTCAATGGAACATGGCATGTAGCTTACCTGGTATGTGGACCTCAGACAAGCAAGAGTTGGGGCTATAATCAGCCTCGTTGCCTCTGGATTGAAGTGCTGCGGGACGCTACCCTGCCTGAAGAGCACAATATAAATGCAAGTTGTTGTTATTGGAGGATTAAGGACAGCATCTCCTGCAATGCAGCGCTCCACCATCACTGTATTGTAGTGTCAGCCTAGACTGTCCACTCACTTACATGAAAAATTGCAAGTGTATATACTTCCCAATAATCTCCTAAGAGATGCTCAGTATTTAATAAATGTTGATTTTTTTTTGATTTCCGAGAGGGCCATTCAAGCCAGAATCCACAGTGATTGAATTACTGTGGAAACAACAACAACAACAAAATTAGATTTATAGAACGTCTTTCATGTCAGGAGGATGATCCAAGGCGCAGTCAGCAGTCAGAACCTGAGCATGGGGGAGGGGTGGGGTGAGGGAAGGCAGAGAGGTGGGAGGGCGACTGAAGACATGGTTGAAGAGGATGGTCTTGAGACCGGCCTTGAAGGAGGCAAGGGAGGAAGCGAGGTGAAGGGACTGTGGGATGGAGTTCCAGAGTGTGGGGGCGGAGAGGCTGAAAGCCCGGCCACCGATGGTAGGGCGGGTCGGGCGGGAGACATGGAGCAGCCGGAGCTCACTGAACGGAGGGAGCGGGCAGGTTGGTAGGGAGTCAGCAGGTCAGAGAGGTAGGAGGGGGCAAGGCCATGGATGGCCTTGAAAGTGAGGACGAGGATCTTGAATTCGATCCTCTGGGGGATGGGGAGCCAGTGGAGTCGGGCGATTCAATGTACACTCAAGTCTGAAAGTCACAGAGGAAGACAACGTTTCCTATTCCAGCTGCAAACACTTGTAGGTGAACACTTTTGACTTAAGATCAGTCTTATTTGCAAGCTGTTTTTTTTTGACAATTCTGCATATTCTTAAATTTTAAGACAACAGGGTCTTTCAGGCTGAGACTAGGTAGAATTTTGGGCCTCATATTTCTTTCATTCACTCTTTTCCCTTTAATAACACTTAACTATGTTCTATTGACATTTCTACTGACATAGCAAAGAACGAGGAACATACGAACAGGAATAGGCCATTCAACCCCATGAGCCTGTTCTGCCATTCTATTAGGTCATGGCTGATCTGTACCTCAAATCCAATTACCTGCCTTTGCCCCATATCCCTTGATACCCACATTCAGCATTGGGAAG